CTCCTTTAAATCATCCACCAGAATAGAGGATAATATAACATTACCACATCACCCTTACCTTCATCCACTGTACAATGAGGTTGTCTCATTTGAACGGTATCCCCCCTCTCTCAACCTCCTGTACCCTTCCTCTGCATCATCCACCAGAATAGAGGATAATATAACGTTACCACATCACCCTTACCTTCATCCACTGTAGAATGGGGTTGTCCCACATGAACGCGTAACCCACCTCTCTCACCCTCCTGTACCCCTCCTTTACATCATCCACCAGAATAGAGGATAATATAAAATTACCACATCACCCTTACCTTCATCCACTGTAGAGTGGGGTTTCCCACATGAACGCGTATCCCCCTCTCTCACCCTCCTGTACCCCTCCTTTACATCATCCATCAGATTAGAGGATAATATAACATTACCACATCACCCTTACCTTCATCCACTGTAGAATGGGGTTGTCCCACATGAACGCGTAACCCACCTCTCTCACCCTCCTTTACCCCTCCTTTAAATCATCCACCAGAATAGAGGATAATATAACATTACCACATCACCCTTACCTTCATCCACTGTAGAATGGGGTTGTCCCACATGAACGCGTAACCCACCTCTCTCACCCTCCTTTACCCCTCCTTTAAATCATCCACCAGAATAGAGGATAATATAACATTACCACATCACCCTTACCTTCATCCACTGTAGAATGGGGTTTCCCACATGAACGCGTATCCCCCTCTCTCACCCTCCTGTACCCCTCCTTTACATCATCCATCAGATTAGAGGATAATATAACATTACCACATCACCCTTACCTTCATCCACTGTAGAATGGGGTTGTCCCACATGAACGCGTAACCCACCTCTCTCACCCTCCTGTACCCCTCCTTTACATCATCCACCAGAATAGAGGATAATATAACATTACCACATCACCCTTACCTTCAGCCACTGTAGAATGGGGTTGTCCTACATGAACGCGTATCCTCCCTCTCTTACCCTCCTGTACCCTGCCTCTGCATCATCAACCAGAATAGAGGATAAAATAACATTACCACATCACCCTTACCTTCATCCACTGTAGAATGGGGTTGTCCCACATGAACGCGTAACCCCCCTCTCTCACCCTCCTGTACCCCTCCTCTGCATCATCCACCAGAATAGAGGATAATATAACATTGACACATCACCCTTACCTTCATCCACTGTAGAATGGGGTTGTCCCACATGAACGCGTAACCCCCCTCTCTCACCCTCCTGTACCCCTCCTTTACATCATCCACCAGAATAGAGGATAAGATAATATTACCACATCACCCTTACCTTCATCCACTGTAGAATGGGGTTGTCCCACATGAACGCGTAACCCCCCTCTCTCACCCTCCTGTACCCCTCCTCTGCATCATCCACCAGAATAGAGGATAATATAACATTACCACATCACCCTTACCTTCATCCACTGTAGAATGGGGTTGTCCCACATGAACGCGTATCCTCCCTCTCTTACCCTCCTGTACCCTGCCTCTGCATCATCCACCAGAATAGAGGATAAGATAATATTACCACATCACCCTTACCTTCATCCACTGTAGAATGGGGTTGTCCCACATGAACGCGTAACCCCCCTCTCTCACCCTCCTGTACCCCTCCTTTACATCATCCACCAGAATAGAGGATAAGATAATATTACCACATCACCCTTACCTTCATCCACTGTAGAATGGGGTTGTCCCACATGAACGCGTAACCCCCTCCCTCACCCTTCTGTACCCCTCCTTTACATCATCCATCAGATTAGAGGATAATATAACATTACCACATCACCCTTACCTTCATCCACTGTAGAATGGGGTTGTCCCACATGAACGCGTAACCCACCTCTCTCACCCTCCTGTACCCCTCCTTTACATCATCCACCAGAATAGAGGATAATATAACATTACCACATCACCCTTACCTTCATCCACTGTACAATGGGGTTGTCCCACATGAAAGCGTAACCCACCTCTCTCACCCTCCTGTACCCCTCCTTTACATCATCACCAGAATAGAGGATAATATAACATTACCACATCACCCTTACCTTCATCCACTGTAGAATGGGGTTGTCCCACATGAACGCGTAACCCACCTCTCTCACCCTCCTGTACCCCTCCTTTACATCATCCACCAGAATAGAGGATAATATAACATTACCACATCACCCTTACCTTCATCCACTGTACAATGGGGTTGTCCCACATGAACGCGTAACCCACCTCTCTCACCCTCCTGTACCCCTCCTTTACATCATCCACCAGAATAGAGGATAATATAACATAACCACATCACCCTTACCTTCAGCCACTGTAGAATGGGGTTGTCCTACATGAACGCGTATCCTCCCTCTCTTACCCTCCTGTACCCTGCCTCTGCATCATCAACCAGAATAGAGGATAAAATAACATTACCACATCACCCTTACCTTCATCCACTGTAGAATGGGGTTGTCCCACATGAACGCGTAACCCCCCTCTCTCACCCTCCTGTACCCCTCCTCTGCATCATCCACCAGAATAGAGGATAATATAACATTGACACATCACCCTTACCTTCATCCACTGTAGAATGGGGTTGTCCCACATGAACGCGTAACCCCCCTCTCTCACCCTCCTGTACCCCTCCTTTACATCATCCACCAGAATAGAGGATAAGATAATATTACCACATCACCCTTACCTTCATCCACTGTAGAATGGGGTTGTCCCACATGAACACGTAATCCCCCTCTCTCACCCTCCTGTACCCCTCCTCTGCATCATCCACCAGAATAGAGGATAATATAACATTACCACATCACCCTTACCTTCATCCACTGTAGAATGGGGTTGTCCCACATGAACGCGTATCCTCCCTCTCTTACCCTCCTGTACCCTGCCTCTGCATCATCCACCAGGATAGAGGATAAGATAATATTACCACATCACCCTTACCTTCATCCACTGTAGAATGGGGTTGTCCCACATGAACGCGTAACCCCCCTCTCTCACCCTCCTGTACCCCTCCTTTACATCATCCACCAGAATAGAGGATAAGATAATATTACCACATCACCCTTACCTTCATCCACTGTAGAATGGGGTTGTCCCACATGAACGCGTAACCCCCTCCCTCACCCTTCTGTACCCCTCCTTTACATCATCCATCAGATTAGAGGATAATATAACATTACCACATCACCCTTACCTTCATCCACTGTAGAATGGGGTTTCCCACATGAACGCGTATCCCCCTCTCTCACCCTCCTGTACCCCTCCTTTACATCATCCATCAGATTAGTGGATAATATAACATTACCACATCACCCTTACCTTCATCCACTGTAGAATGGGGTTGTCCCACATGAACGCGTAACCCACCTCTCTCACCCTCCTGTACCCCTCCTTTACATCATCCACCAGAATAGAGGATAATATAACATTACCACATCACCCTTACCTTCATCCACTGTACAATGGGGTTGTCCCACATGAACGCGTAACCCACCTCTCTCACCCTCCTGTACCCCTCCTTTACATCATCCACCAGAATAGAGGATAATATAACATTACCACATCACCCTTACCTTCAGCCACTGTAGAATGGGGTTGTCCCACATGAACGCGTATCCTCCCTCTCTTACCCTCCTGTACCCTGCCTCTGCATCATCAACCAGAATAGAGGATAAAATAACATTACCACATCACCCTTACCTTCATCCACTGTAGAATGGGGTTGTCCCACATGAACGCGTAACCCCCCTCTCTCACCCTCCTGTACCCCTCCTCTGCATCATCCACCAGAATAGAGGATAATATAACATTGACACATCACCCTTACCTTCATCCACTGTAGAATGGGGTTGTCCCACATGAACGCGTAACCCCCCTGTCTCACCCTCCTGTACCCCTCCTTTACATCATCCACCAGAATAGAGGATAAGATAATACTACCACATCACCCTTACCTTCATCCACTGTAGAATGGGGTTGTCCCACATGAACGCGTAACCCCCCTCTCTCACCCTCCTGTACCCCTCCTCTGCATCATCCACCAGAATAGAGGATAATATAACATTACCACATCACCCTTACCTTCATCCACTGTAGAATGGGGTTGTCCCACATGAACGCGTATCCTCCCTCTCTTACCCTCCTGTACCCTGCCTCTGCATCATCCACCAGAATAGAGGATAAGATAATATTACCACATCACCCTTACCTTCATCCACTGTAGAATAGGGTTGTCCCACATGAACGCGTAACCCCCCTCTCTCACCCTCCTGTACCCCTCCTTTACATCATCCACCAGAATAGAGGATAAGATAATATTACCACATCACCCTTACCTTCATCCACTGTAGAATGGGGTTGTCCCACATGAACGCGTAACCCCCCTCTCTCACCCTCCTGTACCCCTCCTCTGCATCATCCACCAGAATAGAGGATAATATAACATTACCACATCACCCTTACCTTCTTCCACTGTAGAATGGGGTTGTCCCACATGAACGCGTAACCCCCTCTCTCACCCTCCTGTACCCCTCCTTTACATCATCCACCAGAATAGAGGATAAGATAATAGTACCACATCACCCTTACCTTCATCCACTGTAGAATGGGGTTGTCCCACATGAACGCGTAACCCCCCTCTCTCACCCTCCTGTACCCCTCCTCTGCATCATCCACCAGAATAGAGGATAATATAACATTACCACATCACCCTTACCTTCATCCACTGTAGAATGGGGTTGTCCCACATGAACGCGTATCCTCCCTCTCTTACCCTCCTGTACCCTGCCTCTGCATCATCCACCAGAATAGAGGATAAGATAATATTACCACATCACCCTTACCTTCATCCACTGTAGAATGGGGTTGTCCCACATGAACGCGTATCCTCCCTCTCTTACCCTCCTGTACCCTGCCTCTGCATCATCCACCAGAATAGAGGATAAGATAATATTACCACATCACCCTTACCTTCATCCACTGTAGAATGGGGTTGTCCCACATGAACGCGTATCCCCCCTCTCTCACCCTCCTGTACCCCTCCTCGGCATCATCCACAAGGATAGAGTCCTTGTTGCTGTGCTGGTGGTCCAAGTAGTTCGCTATCCGCTCATAGAGAGCATTCATCTCAGACTGGTTCTTGAAATCTAAAAACAAGAAAGAGGCATACAAGCAAAAGCAGATTTAGGGGGAAGCGGACCCCACCACCTCAGGGGTTCGATCCCCTGCCGACCCAAATAGATACCAAATGAGCTATTAGCTACAAAACAAGAACTAGGAGAGCTTGAATTGGACGCCTTTCAAAAGTTGAGCCATATAGACCCAGATTCACAATTTCAAGCAGGGTGCGGTTCCAAGATTTTGGCAAGAGTGTAATTTTTTTAAATTTCAAACATCCCAAATGTTCCGCAGGTAAGTTGACTTGAAAAACGCCATTTTGGAATCATGTTCTTACCCAGATGTATGGGGGAGTGTCTGACTGTTCCGTACTTGACGTTGTTCTGGGCCACCAGACTCTGCAAGGAGTCTATGGGGGTCTCCATTCGGTTCACAGTGAGGAAGGCGGCCAAGTTGGCGGTGTAGGTGGCTGTGATGATGAGGGTGAAGAACCACCAGAAACAGCCCATGATGCGTGCAGCTCCACTCTTCGGGTGCAGATCGCCTCCTAGATCAAAATTACAAAAACAAGGCGTTTAAACAAATTTTGGACGTTTTCAGAACTATTTTTCTATGTCCGGAGCTGAATAGTTAACAATCGTTTGTGATTTGTGAAGGTTGTGGTTAAAAATGTAGTTTTTTTATGTGTGCGGCCCATAAAAAAAGCGACGAATTAATTCTAGTACTATCTTAGAAAATCAGCTTCAGATTTCTTTTTGTTTTGTTTTTCTACATTTAGATTCAGGCAGGGGATCTAGGATTTTCTCGAGGAGAGGGAGGGGGGGTGGGGGGGGGGGGGGGGTGCAGATTTTCAAAAAATTTTCGTCAATTTCGTCGAATTTTCTTTAGGTCAACCAAATTGATCTTCCGAGCTCTCCCAAAGCACTAAAAACTCTCCTGCATGCAATTTTTCGAAAAAGAACAGGCCAAAAAAGGAGTTTTTGTTTTTTTTTGAAAATTTTGACCAAAAAAATTGCGCTTTTTCGGCGCGCGTTCCCATCTCAAAATTAGTATATATTGGCGCCAAAGGCGCCCTCAGAAAAATTCTAGGGTACGCCACCATAAATGGATATCTCAAAACAGTTCAAAGGGGAACCCTTTTGGTCGGCAGGGGGTCGAAACACTCCGCCCTAAACCCCCCGCCCCTTTTTGGAATGCATTTTTTGGAAAAATTTGACCAAGAAGTTGCTTTTTGGTGCGCCGCACTCCCCTTCAAAACTAGTCTATATTGGCGCCAAAGGCGCCTAAGAAAAAGTTTTAGGGTTCGTTGGCCTAAAATGGAATTCGCAAATTAATACCAAAGGTAGGACCTTTGGTTGGTGAGGTGAGGGGGTCGAATCCCTGAGGGAAGAAGGGCGTCCGCCCATACACCCGCACCCCCCCCCCAACTCCACCCCTGTTGAGATCCAGTTATCATTATCCATAATCGTAATCATCAAAAAAGATAGTACCATATTTAAGATGTACAATAAGCCATTTAGCTGACAATGGCATAAAAATGACAAATTAAACACCAGATGTTAAACACGTTTTCTTTAAAAATAACAACTAGCACAAGATTTTGAAGGGCAATAAAAGCAATGCAAAATTAATTTAAAAAATTGCTTCATATTGAGAAGAATCCAGAAAACCAATTCGGTCCTGTGAACCTTTATGATTACACCATTTTTTCACTAGCAGAAGAAAAATACGATTATGGGTGCGACCACGCTGCCACATGACGTGAAGGAACTATGGCGTCGGCTGTTTTTATTACCCCCGATTTCAAAAAAGCTCATAGGGGGTCGAGTGTTGTATCATAAGGAGGCTTTTTCAGCCTCGATTTGAATTCTCTTTGAAATTCGAAAAACTGACTTTGAGACAAAACTGGCTAAATGACACAAAATTTACAAAAGGAACGTTGAAAGACTGAATACTCAGTTTAAATCAACAGTGACTTTACATTATTTAGCCACAATCATTTCTAATCTTTGCAGTTTTTTCTCTAATTCTATCGCTTTTTACTGAAAGAAAAAATAAGAAATTTATGGAATATGTTTATTTTCAAGTTTACTTGAAATCTTTTTTTTTTGCTATTTTTTATTTATTTTATTGTTTTAGTCAACGTAATCGAAGATTCTTTGATGACTTGCCCAGCGAAAATTTTTGCCGTTAAGTTTGATTTGTTTTGCTTCCAAACTTTTTGTTCTCAAGTACAAGTGGTAATTCTAATAGAAAACTAATCAGTTTCCAATTATCACAAATACAAAATTGTTTAGTGTAAGTTTGAAATGTTACTATTCTTTGTCTTAGCTGAAGTTTCTTCAATATATTACCATCTATTGTCTAGAAATGGTTGTAGATAATCCTAACCCGGGTAACGAACAACCTCTTTAATTGGGTGGTTTGTTAAACAGTCAATTTGTCTTTTGTTTTTCTAAAATCAAGGCACACAACGTAGTGTCCAAAATTTTGCAGATAAACATGCTTCCAGTGTAACCAGCAAAATTTGTAAAATTAGGAAAAACTAACAAATGTTTGAATTCGTTTTTCAATTCATTTTAATTGCATCAGTAAATTTTGTAATATTTTTGTTGAAAGGCACTCAGCACTGTTGTGAGGCGTTCACTTTGAAAATTTCAGATCGAGTTCCCGATCTCCTAACGCGGCAATGCCAATGATAATGTGTAAGGACGAGATCTCACTTGCTCTCTAGATTCAGGTCTACCACAGCCTAACCGTATTCGGCTGCAAAAAGGTACCACGCGAAAGTTCTGGACGCAACAAAAAAGGTCATGATGCGCAAAAAAAATTAGCCCAACAAAATTAATATTGTTCTGAAGGGGTTAACATATGTGCAATGAAGTATGGGGTTAACATATGTACATGTGTGCTGAAGGGGAAATATATATATATGCGTTGTTATTACGTATGTCAAAGTTTAAACGTTAAAGTTGAACGTTAAAAAATATTTAAGTCAAAATAGTACACCTAAAAACTCGCACGCTGAAAATTTGAAGTCAAATTAATGCAAATAAAAGTTAGCAAGGCGAAATTTTTGAAGTCAAATTAATGCAAATAAGAACTAGCACGCTGAAAATTTTTAAGTCAGAGTAGTACAGTTAAAACTTTGCACGGGGGGAGATGTCGGAGGAAGAGGGGTAAAAACTGTACCCTGTTGCATGATGGATGTCATGGTGAACCAGATGGAGTTGCGGAAGGTGAATTGGGAGTAGTCACTGAGGGGGTCGACATATCTATCCTGCATAGTATGTCCATGTCCATGACTATGGCCATGTCTTTTATAGTGTCTCCCTCTGGTGTTGGGACTGATTCTAGTCACCAGGAACATCACACCCCCAGCAATGAAGATTGTACCTTCGCAGTAAAACAGAGTGGTGGGGGTGTTTTCGAATTGTAATTACATTTTCAATGAAGTTCATCAAAAGTGTAGTTTTGAGAAAAAAAAATTTCTTTCGAAAACGAGCAAAAGTATTTTTCGAATTTTCTGCTCTGTCAGAGTATAATAACGACCTTCAACTTCATCTTTCAAAATCAAGACTCTTTCTCAATTACTCCTTTGCTTTTCGCATTTGTGATGTTTGCTAGTTTTTTGAAAAATTAGGATTCTTAAATGCAATTTAAAATGACTTGATTTTAGGGAATTTTGGTTTATTAAATTATAATAAAATTTATTTGAACAAGTGAATTTATTTGAGGAATTATCCTAAATTTCGAATTGAGAATAAACAATATTTAGTCAAAATTTATTTAGGCGTTGTACAAAGTAGTGAAAACTGGAACATATCCAAAATCAAACCAAAACTGAAGTATATTGTAACGTACTGGCCACACATGTCCACACTTGGGGGTTGAGGGGTTGCAGGAATCCGAACACAGTCTGGGAGGGGGTAGTTTTGCGGATGAGGATGCCGACCCCGTAGTCCATGAATCTGGTGCTGAAGTCCACCGCCTCCTCCCGCTGACTGGTGATCAACATTCCACTCACTGCTATGTCCGCACGCTACACGCAACAACATAAAAAATAACTAAACAGAATTTGGTTACGAAAAAAAAGAATATCAAAAATCAATCAAAAATTATAAAAGAAAAAGAAAATGATGTTCACGAAAAACTTTACAAATTTTCATCAAGATTTTTTTTCAGAGCTACTTCATCGATTCTTTAATGAAGACTAACAGTCCGATTTTGATTACATTTTCTGTTTTTTTGAGGATGGAAAAAGCTGCCAATTTGTATGTTTTTGAAATGCCAAAAAAAACACAAAAAACATTGTTTCGCCTTCTTTAAAATTACCTCATATTTAATTCTCTTTTCAAAATGAAGATTCTATTTGCAATAAAAATCCCATTTGCGCGGTACCTTGTAGGCGACCTCTCCGACAGCCCCCACCCACGTATGTCCGTCCAGTCTGCCATACTCGGATGCATTGTACATGATGTACTGGAAGTTCAACTGTTTGGACACTTCGTCCAGCAGATCCACACAGAACCCACTGAACACAAGTTGACCACTCTCGTCAGATTCCACCTCCACAAACGGAGACTCCTGCAAAACATAAAAGAAAAAACTAAGGTTGAAAAAACGTTTTCGACAAAAAGTTTTCGAGTGTTATTGAAAAGTTTTCTTTTTTTGTGCGCTAAGCAAAAATTCTGAAGCTTTATAAAAACATTAAAAGTGATATCAGTGAATGTGACGAAATTTTGATTTGCATTAGAAAAAATTTAGTGAATGTAATGCGCAGGATTTTCTCTAAAGGGGAGCAAATTTTCAGAGAATCTCACGGGGAGACTTGCTAAAAAACAGTCTTACAGAGATAAGCAAATATGAATACAACCTATATTGATATTGATTCAAACTTTTTTTGCCGTTTTTGAGCACCTACTTACCACGACAGTGACAACTCTGATCTTCTTGAAGTTCTGAGTGGGCGGGTGGAACAGCTCATGGTCGGATTCGAACCCACGCTTCCGGCTCCAAGTGCCATGCTACATAAAATTACAAAAAAAAATTGATATTTTTTGATATTCTTCTTGCAATTGATGCTTGACTAGTTTTATAGTGATTTTAAATTTTAAAATGAAGAACTCACCTGCCCCCAAAAACTCCTTTGCACGTCGAAGATGTAGAGGTTGAATTTAGTCTGACTTTTGTGAAGTAAGCTGCTAATAGCTTTCGTGTGGTGCTAAAACAGGTACTTCGAAATATATGATGAGACATATTTCCTTATGCATGCTGTATTTATGTATTTTTTGTTCAATGTTGCCAAATAACTACAGAGCTAATTTGAATAATCCGGAAAAAAACGAATATAAGTTTAATTTGAAAATGCGTTTTTCTTAAATTGGCTGATTTTAGACAAAAATGATGAAACAAATCTTGCTTAGAATTTTAGCAGAATTAAAGTGGTGCAATTTAGTTTGCGAATCTCGAGCCCAAAATTTTAACCTAAAAACGATCATTTTGGAATTTTCTCGGTCAATCCGAAATTATGCCAAAACTAAAGGTTTTCTCGGTCAATTGCTGACCAAACTATGTAACAGTAAGAGCCTTCTTTCTAGCTCCAACAAAGTTTAAGAAGCTTTTTATATCTGAAAGCGTTTCTTTGAAACTCAAATGGCCGCCACAAAACTCTATAAAGTGAAAACTCATTTATCCACAGTTAGGTATGTCAAAAGATGAAACCAGGATTCAAATGTAAAATCAGTTTAAAACGCTAATGGCCGTAGTTTGGCTTCCAAAAAATGGTCAGGAAACTTAGATTGAGTATTTCCGCTTTATAGAGTGTTTTCAGTTTATGAATGAACGAGATAAGCGAGTTCATATCTACATCTACAGCATTTAACTTTCCTTCTGTTGCATTCACATCAACCAACAGTTCAAATAGAACCTTAAAACCTGAAAGCTTATTAATCTTCCAATTTTGTTTCCGATTTCTCCTTTCTTAAATTAATGTTTCTTAAATTCTTAAAATGTTTTGCTTAAATTAATGTGACCGGAACAATGGCATTTTTGGCTATGTTACCTTTTTTTTAAATCGTTTTAGCAACCGTCAATGCGCACCGCTACTGCTGGCGAGATACATCAAATCAACAAAAGTTTTTTCGAAGAAATTGACAGAAATTTTTTGCTCTGCATGCTTTTTTCATCAAAAGTCGACTTTTCACTCACTGTTGTAGCAAAGTATTGCTACAACTTTTGAAAATTATGGATGTCCCGAAGGAAAAAAGAAAAAGATATTCGAAATTATGAGGGTTTTAGAAACTGCGTAATTATCATTTTCAGGTATACTTATTGTCACATAAATGGCCGCTTTAGAGATTATAGACTAATTTAGGCATAGATTTAACCAGCATCGAAACATAACGTAAATCACTTTTTTAAGTTTTTTAATTGCAATCTTCTTCGTTGTTAATGTGACCCCAGTCTTAAAAGTAAAGAATTACTAGAATAAAGAATTATTTGATTTTGAATTATTATAAAGAATAATTTGATATTGATTAACAAAAATCGCCTACACTCCTCATAACAAAAATGGGCGTTGATACTATAGAGTCACACAGTTTTGCCAAATGAGCAGTTTTCAAATTATCAAATTGTGCTGGACGTCAATCTGGGCGTCTGCTAAGCCAAAGGAGATAAATGACTGAATACATTGTTTAAAAATTATATGCAATAAAAAATCTTAAAAATTCGAAACCTAAAAGAGGAAATTATACAAAATTGTAATTAATCCCGTATAAAAAGAAACTGTCAAACTTCTGTTTGTGGTTGAAACGCCATCAAGTTGAAGTTTTTATTTGATCAAAAAATGCTTTTTTTTTGAAATTTTTGGTCTTTAAGATATGAAGATGGGCTCTGAGAACCTGGAACAACTTTTGCATTATCGGATTTCTAGCCACGGAACATGAGAAGAAATTTGGATTTCGGTGTACGGACAAAGCTAGCCGGTTACTGTGCAAGTAGCACAGAATGTTCCGACCATAGTCTCAATAAAAAACAACAAAATTTATTCAAATTATTGTCGTTTTTTTTTGGCGTGATGTGATAAAAGGAGCTGTATATTCGACAGCCATAATAAAATAAGCAAATTGAAAAACACTTTTTGAAGAAAAATTACTAGAAAAAAAAAGAAAAAAAATGAAAACAAAAATATTCGAAAATTTTTTCAAGTTTTTTGCAGTTTTTTGAATTTTTGAAATTTTTGATTCCAAAGGCGCTAAAATACTCATAATAAACTACCTTTACCAAAGTGAAACTAAGTTTTTTTTCGTTTTAAATTTCATTGTTGTAAGCTTTTAAGCAATTATAGTAAGGCTGCTCGAAATAAGACTCGAAATAAGACGAAAAATCAAAAATTTCAAACTGGTTTTTCTCGACATTGGGAATTTTTTTAAAAACATTTTAAAAGTGGTTCGAATCACGATTGTAATTGCTTTAGTATTATATATCACTCAATCCAGTCCGATAATTATTTGTGGTACTTGGTTTTGGAAAAAAAAACTAAAATAGACCCGAATACAAAGTTCCTTTTCATTGTCAATGGTCGGAACAATAAACAAGTTTGACTTTTCGACCACTTCATTATCTATAAATTTCAAAGACGTCGTTAATTTTTGGTTTCTACAACCATGCAATGAATGAAGTCAAACCGCCTACAATTACAGATTTGCTAAAAATATATATTTTTACGAAAAAAAAACAACAGATCTCAGCGTCCATTTTTTAACCATGTTAGACCCAGAGTCCAAATTACAGTGAAAAATAGACGTATGCAACTAATTCAATACTGCTTTTACATTTCAGTACAATTTTCTTTGTTAGTTATGGCTATACAATATTTATCATTAATTTAAAAACTGCATTTATTGATTCACGGCTGATAGAGCCTAATTTTGGGTACAGAAATACACCCACATCCTATACTATAGTTGACCCTCACAATTAGTGGTTGGAATCTTCAGGATTACTTGGACTACCGCAAAAAAATTACACCCAATCAAATCTAACTACTTAAAGATTTTGAGGTACTATGCAACACATTTGAAACAATGTTTCACCGCGGATGTCGCAATGTTTTGATTCAAGTTTTTGTTCTCACTCAAAATCGTCACAGACAACTTTTTTGACTAGCGGTCACAAAATCATCAACCGACCATCTCAGCTCATATCCTTCACCTTCAGTTTTCCGAGCAGATTTTTCTCAACACGAGCACAATTTTCAGGACTGGTGAAAAAAGATGGTAAATGTTGAAGGTCTCCCCACACGCTATTGTTCAGGTACAGATTGATCTTATGAGAAGTGTCGTGAAAGTAGTCTCCATTTTTGAAATCAGTCCAGAAAATCATATTTTTGGACAATAAGCCAGATCCATTGCACAGAAACTAAAGACTTGAGAATGTAGATTTTTATCTGTACAAACTTGAATAGATTGCTCTTTCTTGTCAACTCCATCGAATACTCGAACTGAATACTCGAAACAATACAGATACGCAAAAAGTTGTGAGTGATATTTATGTCATTTTCTACCACTAAAAATGCTTCTTCTTGCTTTTGGTTTTTCGTTTTCATTTCAAACAAATCGATATTTGGGTGAACTCAAAATTATTTAGTGAAATATTTTGACGAGATAAAAAATTGATTGAAGAAAAATCTTTGAATTTATATAAATTCGGCGGATTTTCCAAAATTTTTTGAAATTTTTTAGTCCAACAAAATGGATTTTCCGAGCACTTTTACCCTTTTTCAAAAATTGTTTTTGCGCCACAGGCAAAAATTTGAAAAAAAAAACAGGTCAAAGTACCGTAGAAGAAAAAATACAGGTCAAAAGCACTCCCCTTCAAAATTATTATATATTGGCGTCTTTAGAAAAACAGTAGGGTTGTTCGGCAGATAATGGATGTCATAAGACAATAACAAAGGTTGGTTGGCGAGGAAGTCAGAACCCTGAAGTCAAACCGCCCCTGAAGTCAGAACCCAAAACCGCCCCTGATAAGTCCGTACATTTAAATGTGGTTCTGAAGTTTTGCTTCTAAATTTTTGTTTCTTGAATTTTGCAAATCCGATGAAGAGTCAAGATCCTCAACTTAAAAAATGGCCCCACAATATAAGTTGTTCTCTGTTTCTTAGCATTGCGCCCTACGGGCACAATTGCCAAGGCTGACGTAATTTTCTCTCTATTAATTTAAATACTTAATTAAAAAACAACCCAAAAAGGCTTTAGAAAATATTTAAAAAACTGGGTACTATTTGTCTCTCCAGAAGGAGCAAAAAATCATAGTTTTTGCAGTAGTAGCATAAATGACTACCAATTTTTCAAACTAAGTTACGATGCCAAACTGTGTTTTCCGTAAAATAAAAGTGGAATCCACAACCGGCCAAAATCAATATTGTCGCAGAATCCGTGACATTACTAATTTAATTTGATCTTCGTTGCTGTTTTGAATTCCATAAACAAACAACTAAAACAATATAACGCTCAAAATTGCTTCAAAATCAGCATATTTTGCGGAATTTGCTAGAAAACTTGTGGAATCTGGAGAAATTTGTGGAATCCAAAAACAAATCATACCATATGTACATAGTAAAAAAGTGCTTTCGCAGAATCCGCAATTATAAGCGGAATCCACAAAGGGTAAGAGAAAGCGGCAAATTATTAGCGAATCTGCAAACTGTGAAAGGAATCTGAATTTCGATAGCGAATTACCGCAAAAATTTGTAACATGTATAGTCATGACTGTATATTAAATCAGTTTTTTAACCAATTAAGATGCTGAAATTCAAACAATCTATGAATAAATAATTATCATTCCAATTTATCCTGCATCCTAATATTTTCAAGGTAATTTTTAGATTAAGTCCGAGATTCTAATCCGAAATTTAATTCGAATTACGAGAAAAGAACAGTCCAGTACAAATTGATTTGGAATTTTATAACCTGATAGTTCAACAAAAGATTAGTTCCAGAACACTTGAATTGACTAGAATCTTTTGAAACTTTTGATTCTTTTGCGCAGACAAGACAACATAATTATACAGCTCAAAAATTTAAAGGGGTACTTTTCTCCAGCACTCGAATTCCTAGATAAAGCCACAGCGTTCAGTTTGCAAATAGTTGAACTGCAGAATAAATTTATAGGGTTTTCGATTAAAGTTATGGTTTAGCTGCTGGATATCTATACTGA